TTTAAAAACCATGGGGTTCATCCCCCTGTCTTCTGGCTTTATTCTGCCTTTTGAAATGGAGCCATTTTCTTGGGAGGGCCTGAGGTCTAGTTACTGGGTCTAGCTGCCTAGGAGAGCATGCAATTCTGCACCCTGGCTCAGGGGCTGCTCACCTTCTCCTCACCCTCCCAGGGCCTCTGTTTAGAGCTTCCCTCTTCTCTCTTCCACTCCTGTGGAGGAGGGGGAGGATCACTTATTTTCTCTGGGTAGGAGAGAAGCAGGATATTAGTTCCTGGCAGATGGAGTAAACGGGTAAACAGGAAGGATACCTGGATTTCACAATTCGCTGTTAACCTCTCACCCCAAGTTTTGGTCCTGTTTCTCTCCCACAGAAATAGGACTGAGGGGTGGGTGGTTATGTAAATGACACTGAGAAAGGATTTGGGGGAGTTATGAGCGTTGAACCCTGACCTGAAAACCCTGGCCACAAAAGCTTCAGAGGCTTGGGGAAAATAGCTGAGGTAGATCGAGGTGTTGGGAGGGGTGGGCCGTGGGGCACAATCCTCCAGCCACCTGGCCCCTTTCTTCTCTATGGGGCTGTCTGGCCTGAATCCTCTTCTCCCCCCTCCTTCTCCCTGTCTCCTATCCTCTTCCCAGGAGCTGGGATGGATCTGAGTGTCTGAGAAAGAGCAGGAGAGGAGATAAGCAGCTTACAGGAGGGTCCAGGCTCACCGCAGGGATGGAGGGAAAAGGCTGTAGTGGACTGAGAGGTGTGCTTTGGGGTGGCATGCTGTCTGCACCCTGCCCTCACCTATTAAACTGCCAGGCACAGGGAGATAGGGCTGCTCAAGCCTGAGGTGATCTGAGGGTTGCTAAAATGGGACCTAGATGTCCGTTTGGGCAGCTTCGCTGTCTGGCAGTAATCCACTGGCTGCAAAGCACCTTTCTGATTAGCGCTGGAGGGAAAGTGCATTGCCCACCTACTAGCTCAGCCCCAGTGTCTTTGGCAGGACAGCCCTGTGCAAGGTAGGATTCTCATGCTTCTCTGGTCTCCACAGCACATGGTGATGAGTTTCCGGGTGTCTGAGCTCCAGGTGCTCCTCGGCTTCGCTGGCCGGAACAAGAGTGGACGGAAGCACGAGCTCCTGGCCAAGGCCCTGCACCTCCTCAAGTCCAGCTGTGCCCCCAGCGTCCAGATGAAGATCAAAGAGCTTTACCGCCGACGCTTTCCCCGGAAGACCCTGGGGCCCTCCGATCTTTCTCTGCTCTCTCTGCCCCCTGGCACCCCTCCTGTAGGCTCTCCTGGTCCTCTAGCTCCCATCCCCCCAGCCCTCTTGGCCCCTGGCACCCTGCTGGGCCCCAAGCGTGAAGTGGACATGCACCCCCCTCTGCCCCAGCCTGTGCACCCTGATGTCACCATGAAACCATTGCCCTTCTATGAAATCTACGGGGAGCTCATCCGGCCCACCACCCTCGGTATGGCTCTTTGTGATCCCTGGGTCTTCCTGGACTCCATGCCTCTTTCCCAAGCCTTTCTTAGGCTTTAGTCCTGTGGGATCAGCACCCTGGAATAGGGGCAACTTCTGTGGCTGCCTGTGCATGGGCTTGGGAATAACTGCCCCTTTGTGTCCTCAGCATCCACTTCTAGCCAGCGGTTTGAGGAAGCGCACTTCACCTTTGCCCTCACTCCCCAGCAAGTGCAGCAGATTCTCACATCCAGGTACATCTCTTTCAGTCGTCCTGCCTCATCCTTGGGTGGTTACCCTTAGACTCTGCTCTCTGACTTTCTTCTCTTCTGCCCTGCCCTCCTTCCTCTCCATCCTCCTGCACCTGCTTTGTCCCTCATTCTCTTGTATGTCCCTTCTCTATTCTCTGGACATCTAACTTTCTGTGTCTCTTTTCACCCCTGCCCTTCAGGGGCCGCATACTGACATCTCTCCTCCCTCCCTCTTCCAGAGAGGTTCTGCCAGGAGCGAAATGTGATTATACCATACAGGTGCAGCTAAGGTGAGTTGACTCTCCCTCCCCTCAGGGCTCCCACTGAGGGTGGGAATGAAGTAAGGGTATGACGGTTACTATTAGGAGATACCCTGCTCTGCCATGTCCACCCCAGCCCTAGGATTCTTGTTTGGAAGCTGAAGGCTACAGATATCCATGACTGATTTTCTGAGGTTGCCTGCCTCTCTCTGCAAGAGCTGCCTCCCACCCTTTCATCTTCTCTCATCTCTTACCAGGTTCTGTCTCTGTGAGACCAGCTGCCCCCAAGAGGATTACTTCCCCCCCAACCTCTTTGTCAAGGTCAATGGGAAACTGTGCCCCCTGCCGGTAAATGCTCTTCCCTTCTTCTGGCAGTAACCCCTTCCCTGTTTTAGTTCCTAAATGTTACATCTTTTATGAAAGAGACATGCCTGACATAGTAGGTGCTCGCTTTACTGACTGAATCAATATAATCTAGGGAGTACCAAGATAGGGCTGAACAAGGGTTCTCTCAGAACCCAGAGGGGGGATATTAGTTCAACTCAAAGGTTCAGGAAAGATTCTCAGAAGTGATGACCCTAGAGCTGAGGGTTGGAAGAAGTGGGGTATCCCTACTCTTCCTCTTCAAGAACTCAGTGAGCAGGTTCCTATTTATCTGGTCAGTGAGTAAGTTCTCCTTTTTCCCCAGGAATGAACCCTGCTGCCAACCCTAGAGAGTGCCCCAGTTTTTTGAGTCACTGAATGGGCCCCCGTCTCACTCATCTCAGTGAGTGAGCTGACCTTCTCTCCAGAAAGCGAGTGACCTAAGACAAGGTGTCTTAACCAGGCCCTCCCTCCCTCCCTCCCCCAGGGTTACCTTCCCCCTACCAAGAATGGGGCTGAGCCCAAGAGGCCCAGCCGCCCCATCAACATCACACCCCTGGCTCGACTCTCGGCCACTGTTCCCAACACCATCGTGGTCAACTGGTCGTCTGAGTTTGGACGGGTGAGCGTGGCTGAGGCTGGGGGCCTGGAGAAGCCTGCAGGGAGTGAGAGGGAATCATCCAGTGCACTGGGCTGGGGAAACATCTTTCTCTTCATGGGTCTCTCTGCATTAACTTGCTGTCTCTGGCCCTCATGTGACAAGGTGGGGGGCTGCTGGTGGTGGTGGTGCAGTGGTATACGAAGCAGAGGCTGATTGTCTCCCCCCGCACCTCCAAGTAGAATTACTCCTTGTCTGTGTACCTGGTGAGGCAGCTGACTGCAGGAACCCTTCTACAAAAACTCAGAGCAAAGGGCATCCGGAACCCAGACCATTCCCGGGCACTGAGTGAGTAACATCCCGTCCCTCTTCTCTCTGACCAGTATCCAATTCTTCCTGGCCCTCAAGCCTTTACAGTTAAAACTCATACCCCTCTTATGACAACTTACTTCACCTCTCACATGAACCCCAACCCGTGCCGTACCCGTTACCAATCTTTGTGGTTGAAAAGTGGGGCCACTTCAGGCATTGACACCCTTGCATTCCCAATTATACATCTGCTTTGCACCTCGCAGACCTTAACTCCAGCCCTGTTGGAATTTGGGTTCTCCAGACTAGAAAGTGTCTTTAAGTATCATCAACACTAACCCTCTTGTGATGCTTCAATTCCCTCTAGGTCATCTCTGCCAAAGTGTCACCCAGCTGTATTTAAGCATCTTCAGGGATGGGGAAATCTCTCCCCGCCACCTAGCCTTCGTAATGCAGATCCCAGACCACCCCCATGTGACATCCCATTGGCCCCCAAAGGCGCTCTACCCAGCCGCCTCTCAGCCAGAGCCATCTGCTTCTGGCCTCACCACCTCCCGGGCTTCTCTCCAGCCTTGCTGACCCCATGGCTCTGGCCCCACTCTTGTTTCAGTCAAGGAGAAGCTGACCGCTGACCCGGACAGTGAGGTGGCCACTACAAGTCTCCGGGTGTCACTCATGTGCCCGGTGGGTACAAGGGAGAAGAGAAGGGGGAGGAGTGGTGGGTTAAACCTCTAGACTCAGAGGAGGGCTCCTAGGGCTATTAGAGTGAGGCTCTCTGGAACATGGGGACTCTGACCAGAGAACTCGTCTCTCCTCAGCTAGGGAAGATGCGCTTGACTGTCCCTTGTCGGGCCCTCACCTGCGCCCACCTGCAGAGCTTCGATGCTGCCCTTTATCTACAGATGAATGAGAAGAAGCCAACGTGGACATGTCCTGTGTGTGATAAGAAGGCTCCCTATGAATCTCTTATCATTGATGGGTAGGGCTGTTCTGCATTCAGCTTCCTTTTACCTAGGACATCCACTAGGACTGGCCCCTGCCCCCATATATAAATATATATCTGTAACTTACTTCCCCTCCCAACTCTTAACATATCTGTCTCTTTTATATAAATATTACCTATCTATTTATCTATCTCTCCCTCCAACATTGAGGACTTCACTACACACCGTACTAAGTACTTTGCATGCCTTATCTCATTGAGTCCTATGAGGTGCCAGTAACCCTGTGTGAGATAGGTACGGTCATTACAGGTGAGGAAGCTGAGACCTAGAGAGACCGAGTATCTTGCTCAAAGTTACAGCGTTCGTAAGTGGCAGAGCCAGTGTATCAAACTGTTACATCAAACAATTACCTGACCTCTTACTGAACATAGCAATAAAGTTCTTTTGATCTAGCGACTCCTAACCTGCTTCCAGAGCCTACATTATGGTTCTTGTTCCCAGTGCCTCTTTTTTTTTTCTTTTTGCGGTACGCGGGCCTCTCACGTTGCGGAGCACAGGCTCTGGAAGTGCAGGCTTAGCGGCCATGGCTCACGGGCCCAGCCGCTCCGTGGCATGTGGGATCTTCCCGGACCGGGGCACGAACCCGTGTCCCCTGCATCAGCAGGCGGACTCTCAACCACTGCGCCACCAGGGAAGCCCCCAGTGCCTCTTTTTGAGGTAGCTTATAGAGTTCTGTTATCTCTGCTCCTTCTGTTTTGTTCCTAGTACTACATGGAACACGTGCTTAGAATGTACTTATTTTAAAACTCAGCATTTAAAATTTTCAAAGCTCTTTTATGCACCTTACTTTATTTGATTCCAACAACTCAGAGAGGTCAGGAGGGTGGATAACATCCCTAATTTACAGGTGAGGAAACTGAGGTTCAGGAAGGTGAGTCCCAGAACTCCCTGGCTACTGTTGCAGCCATCTCCCAGCCACATGAATTCCTATCTCTCCCCTCCCCTAGTTTATTCATGGAGATTCTTAATTCCTGCTCGGATTGTGATGAGATCCAGTTCATGGAAGATGGATCCTGGTGCCCAATGAAACCCAAGAAGGAGGCATCTGAGGTTTGCCCCCCGCCAGGGTATGGGCTGGATGGTGAGTGACCCCCTGTCCCCCAGTTGAGCTAAGTCTTGTATGTCCTCTTCTCTGAGACACAGTCTTCTTACCAACCACAGGCCTCCAGTATAGCCCAGTCCAAGAGGGCAATCCATCAGAGAATAAGAAGAAGGTTGAAGTTATTGACTTGACAATAGAAAGCTCATCAGACGAGGAGGACCTGCCCCCGACGAAGAAGCACTGTCCTGTCACTTCAGCTGCTATCCCAGCTCTACCTGGAAGCAAAGGGTATGAAGAAATAGGCTGAATCTGTAGCAGAAGGGAGAGGAAGAAGTCAGGAACGCTTTCTGATCACTGGGCAAACTCGGGGGCAGAGAGGGGACTTGAGAGGCTGAGCTGGGTGAGGACATCTGTGATTCCTTCTGTCTCCTCACAGAGTCCTGACATCTGGTCACCAGCCATCTTCGGTGCTACGGAGCCCTGCTATGGGCACGCTGGGTGGGGATTTCCTGTCCAGTCTCCCACTACATGAGTACCCACCTGCCTTCCCACTGGGGGCTGATATCCAAGGTATGACACTGATCACAAGGTGGGGCCGTGCACTGCCATATCCTCCCCCAAACCAGCTCACAACCCTTGCTCCTTTTCAGAGCTTTTTGGCTGTTTTGCAAAGGGCCACAATCCAAGGAACTTTGATACTGTGTGTGTGTGTGTGTGGGTGGGTGGGTGGGTGTGTGTGGTGAAGGGGTCAGATAGGAGGTTGATTTTAATTTTTCTTCTCCTACCAGGTTTAGATTTATTTTCTTTCCTTCAGACTGAGAGTCAGGTAAGTGGTCCCTTCTCCATCTCAGATCGCTGAAGCCTCCTTTTTAGGCACTGATGGGCCCCCTTACTCTCTCATTTTCCCCAGGGACCTTAATGTGCTTCTCCATGAAGGAAGGAAACTGCGGTACAGGCAGTTTATTTCCCTCCTAGGCCCCACTGGGATTTCTTCAGATTCTGACCCATGTCTTACTCTGTCCTCTGTTACTTACTGTTCTGTCTCCATAGTTTTTAGTATAGTTCTGTGCCTGTCTGCTCACCCCTCCCCACCCCCCCAAACCCATGTGCACTTGAGCACCATGACTGCCCCAGCCGGACATTCCACACATTTCAGACGCCCACAGGGCCGAGAATCTAGCAAGCTGGTGGGGCTGTCTCCAGGCAGGGAAGAGGGGTGGGGTGTGGGGAAGTAGGGGAAGGAGTCAGAGGGAGGCTCTCCTGCTTCTCAGAGAATACTTTGGGATCCTGAGGGGTTTATTTATCCCATATGATATTTCTGAGATGAGTGACTGGGAGGCGGTTTGTAAAGTCAGGATAAAATCTTAAACCATGCTCTTGATTCCTCCCAGCACTATGGTCCATCCGTCATCACCTCGCTAGACGAACAGGATGCCCTGGGCCACTTCTTCCAGTACCGAGGGACCCCTTCCCACTTCCTGGGCCCGCTAGGCCCCACGTTGGGGAGCTCTCACCGCAGCACCACTCCGGCACCCCCTCCTGGCCGTGTCAGTAGCATTGTGGCCCCTGGGGGAAACTTAAGGGAGGGGCATGGAGGACCCCTGCCCTCAGGTCCCTCTTTGACTGGCTGTCGGTCAGACATCATTTCCCTGGACTGAGTCCCCTGGATTGTGGAGCCTTCACCGCCTCGCAACACTGAGCAAGTATGCTGTGGAGTCTGGAACCCTGGCCCCTCTGACCCATCAGAAGGGCTTTGGTCAAGGCCAGAAAGATCTTCATGGACACCTGTTTTTGGCCTTATCTCTGCCTGACAAGGCTAGCACCCAAAGGGTTAATATTTAACCTCTTTTAAAGGACATTTGGGGTCTGTTTTTGGAAATGTTCTTTGATGTCCAGCCCATTCCTTTGGGTCTGTTAACCTAGGCAGTGGGAGGCAAATGGGATGGGATGTGAGTTGGGGAAAGGGCTGAATCCTCAGCCTTGACTGTCTAAAGCCTCGTGGGGAAGGGGCCCTTCTCGTGTCCCCCAGATGCCCTCTCTTCCCATTCCCCAAAGCCGGCTGTGTTCCTTCCCCATATCCATTGTCTCTTCACGTCCATTCCGTTCTCTTTGGCCAAACAGACAGCTGGAGTAACTGAGATAGGCAGACACATGGACAGAGAACTCTATTTTGGGTTGCATATTTTTTGTGTGTAAACAAGAAAAACCAAAATACTCCAAAGATGACTTTCCCTGCCTCCTGCTTCCCAGTGTGACGGAGGAGGAGATAAGGCCTTAGCCCTGATCCCCAGGGGTTTGGGAGAAGGGCCTGGCCAATCGCCTGGGTCTCTCTATTTATATATTTAAGTAAGTTCACAATGATGCTTATGCTGACCAGCCTGGAGCCTGAGCTTCTAAAGGCCCATGGCCCTGTGGTTAGGTCTGGCTCATTCTGCACCTTTCCTGGGAGGTGGGAGCACCCATGTGCTCTCTCCAGTCTCCCTTTTCAGGCTCCTCTAGGGCCTAGGATCTATGTTGTAATTTTACTTTCTATTCCCACAGTTGTAGCAAAGTTCTTACCCATAATAAAGGTTGTGGATGTTCTGTGAGTGTCACGGAGGTGGGCTGGGGAGGGGATTAAGCACTTTGCTTTCCAGATCCCTGGTTTGTGGGGGGTGGGATGGGCCACGTTCTGTTCTTCCCTTGCAGGCTCTGGGTCCGAGTGAGCTCCACTTCCACATGGTAGGGGTGTCACACTGAGGATTTCCAAGGGCAGTTCTTTCTTCCTTTCTTTCCCCCACACCCATAAAAACACTAGACCATTCAGCCCAACACTGTGGAGTCCTTAAGTCCTTCCTCATCCTTACCTGCCCAGATGCTGTAGCCAGAGCCTGAGGGCAAACTTGGTCCCAGTGCTGACCCTCTCTTTGCTATCTGCCGTGGCTGGGGTCGTCCGCAGCAGTGTGGACGTGGGCAAGACCAGAGGTCGAGCTCCTCCATTCTCTTCTAGTTCCACCGCACTGCAGAATGACAGCTCCTGTCTGGGCTGTGCCTTGTGGCTTAGCCCACTTCTGTATCCATAAGGTCATCTGATCCTCCCAACCACCACAGGAGAGGGGTGGGTGGATGTTAACCTCATTTTACAGAAAGGAGGGTTAAATGACTTGCCCCCATGAGAGAGTAGGACTGAAACCCAGGTCTTCAGTGCTAGCCAGTTGGACAGGAACTCTTGGAGTATCATGGGCAATATCTTTGATCTCATGTGCTCTCTTCATTATCAGTTGACCCACTCCCTCCCTAAATCTCCCCCACAGCACAAAATTTCCTCTGAACTTCTCAGTGTGTATGTGTTGGTGTGTTGGAGGGTTAGGGAGAAGCTCCTACTTACAGGACAGAAGGCGGTAGGTCCTGGGGAAGATGTCTGGGTGTCTCTGTCCCATCCTCTGTGGCAGCCACCGCAGCTGCTACATCTGGTCCCAGCCACATAAGGGCGTTCACCTCTCTTGGGTTTGGTTGGATCCGGGCCTGGAGCCAGACATGTTGATCCCTTAGTCATGGCCTCTCTCAGAAGACCTGTTCTGGATCACAGCCTACCCACAGGTGGAGTGGAGAGACTTGGGGCAGGGACAAGGGGAGAGGCTACTGGATTTCTTGGTTATCTCTGACCTTCCCTCTCCCCCTCCTTAGTCATAGTCGGAACCAGTCTGTTTGGTTCTCCTAAGCCGCATTTCCTTCCTCTACTGCCAGCCCTACCTGTAGCTGCTGCTGTGACTCCTGGGAAATGACAAGTAGATAGAGAATGATGTGATGGTATTTGGGGAGACCCCAGCTCAGCCTAGGAGGGTAGGCAGACTAAGAGAGAAGAAAACAAAAATGAGAACTTCCTGTCCCTTTTTGGGGCTTTGTAAATGCAGCTGAGGAAGTGGAGAGTAGAAGTGGTGGAGGAGGGACATGGGTAAGGGTCGTGGGCTTGGGAACTCCAGACCACCCACACTCCATCGGGTCCCATGTGGTCAAGGCAAGTGTGGCTGTTCTCTGGGCTTTGGTGGGTTAGAAGCTGTTAAGGGCTCCCAGGTCCCTGTCTCACCTCCCATAACCCCAGAGGGACCCAAAAGAACTGGCCCTGGGGCAGCTGTAGTCCACTCTCCTCCCAAAGCTCTCGAAGTCCTCCGTCCAGCAGCTGGGAGTGAGGGGGCAGGAGGTCAGAGAGGCCACCGCCTGACTCCTCCAAGTCCTGTGTTTGCCCTTCCCTCAGCCCACACCCAAGGTGGTCCCTCCTTCAGGGCAGGGTGCAGGTTGGGTCAGTGGATTGGCTACCTCTTCATCAGGTTCCACGTGCCCACCTGCAACAACAGTGGGACCAGCAGGTGAATGGTGGTGTTCCTGGTCAGGGACACTCACTCACTGTTTACACTGCCCCCTCCTCCAGTGGGCACAGATGCAGTTGTAGCCCCTTGTGATTATGGGACCTGTTGATACCACATTTCTGGGCCTACTTCTCTGTCGTTCTGAGACTGGGAATAGCACTGTTGGGTAAAGGGCAGATTTCTTTCCTGGACTTAGGGCCTTGCCCTCAGACCGCTCACCTGGGGGTACCCAGAGGTTGGGGGAAACGTTGAGAGCGCATGTCCTTCGGGTCAGCAAGACAGTCTGATCGCTGGACTGCAGAACGACCGCCACAGCCAGATCCACACCTCGATTCGTGGGCAGCTCGGCCCCAGGAGCCCTGGGCTGCTGATCCAGGGCCGAAAAAGGGCAGAAAGGGGGTCGCTGGGGGGAGGGATCCGCTGGGGTTAATATCTCAGAAGCGAGGCGTGGCTTTCAAAAACTGGGCGACACCCAGATGGGGAAAGAGGCCACGGCAGGCGACTGGCCCCCAGGCCTCTCGCCTCCAGCCCCCACCCGATCCCAGTCCCTACCTTCGGCCCTTCACCCCCCGCCCCCGCCCCGTGCGCCCCCGTCTCCGGACCTGGAGCGGAAGCCTGGCGGAGGCGCCTGGGAACGGCCTGTGTGAGAGGACGAGTTGTCCCCGCTTGAGGCCGCAGTACGTGGGCCACGGCCCGAGCCCCGGCCCGGCGCCCAGGAGGCCACACACGCTCTGCGCGAAGCTCACCGACTCTGGCCGTCCAGACAGGAGAAGCACCCTCGCCGCCGCCATAGCGCGGCTCTGGGGTCTCTGCGGCCCACTCCGCGCCCTCTAGTGGCCCAGCGGGCTTCCCCTCGGAGCCTTCCGCCGGGTGGGAAGGAAGCCCGGCTTCCGGGACTTCCCCCGGGAAATTTAGGCATGACACTTGGGGATGAACCAGGGGTGTGATAGGTAAATGACAAAGGGGAACACCTCTAAATCCTCAGCTCCTCTTTTCCTCCCATCTTCTGTTTAGGAAAATGATCCCCAGACGGAGTGATTTCTGGATTCACGTGTCATCTCCCACCAGCCATGGGCGGAACGATAAGCACCCCTCCATGGCACTCTGCACACCTATCTGGTATAGCAGGTAACACCTCCAATTAGTGAATTACATCTGTCTCTTAGCCAGACACCCAAGAAACATTTTTGACACCTTCCCTTTTTTTTTCTCGTTTAATTTATTTATGGTTGTGTGGGGTCTTAGTTGCAGCATGTGGGATCTTTTGTTGCCGCCTGTGGGCTTCTCTATAGTTGTGACATGCAGGCTTCTCTATAGTTGTGGCATGCAGGTTCCAGAGCGCCAGGGGCCTAGTTGCCCCAGCATGTGGGATCTTAGTTCCCCAACCAGGGATGGAGCCGGGCGTCCCCTGCATTGGAAGGCGGGTTCTTAACAACTGAACACCAGGGAAGTCCCACCTTCCCTTTCTTTCTTTTCACTCAAATGGCAACCAAGTGCAGCAGATTCTACTTCCTTAAACTTTCTCAAATCCATGTCTTAATCTCCAGCCACCATTGCCCAGTTCAAGCCTTCCTCATATTCTGCCTGAGATACTATTACAAGTCTTTAAATAGTCCTGCCTCCACCAATTCATTCTCTACAGTGCGGCCAGAGTGATCTTTCTAAAATACAGATCTGCTCACTTTGCTTCCCACTGCTCTCAGGATAAGATAAGCTACTTAACACAGCATCCTTGCTACACACCCACCAGTCCTTGCCCCTGCCTGTCAATTCTGGCAGGACATAGGCCCTGTTTTTCAGTCACGTGTTATTCCCTGTTCCCCCAAGAAACAGGCTGTGCTTCCCTCTGGGATCCTTTTTCCCTTCCACCTGGCAAATCCCCATCTTTCAAAATACGGATTGTGTCACCTTCTCTATGCTCCCTTTCCTGCCTGACCCTTTTCCCCTTTGCCTCTGTACGATACTTTCCCACTATAGCCCCCGCCCGCAACACTTCCTTGTACTTATCTGTCTCCCTCCACTAGGCTGTATGCTCAAGGCTATTCATCTTTGCATCCCCAAGGCCTGGGGACATACCGGGCACATAACTGGTGCTCAGTAAATGATGGTAAGTGCCTTGAAGGCAGAGATGGTATTGTATTTATCTTTGTATATTATACCTAGTATAGTGGCTGGCAATTAATTGGCATTCAAATGTTTAATGAATTAGAACTAACACTGGTAAGAGGAAACTGAAGAGATTATAAAACAACACCTGCTTTAAATGAAACTGAAGCTGCTGGGACAAATTATGTCAACTAGATTAGTCATCTGTCCATGGTACTAGGAGAGAGAAGTTAGAATTGCCAGTTTTTAGGAACCATGGTGAAGAGGAAGGCAGTGATTTATTGAGTGCTTACCACATGCCAGGCATTGTGCTAAGTGTTTCACATACATAATTTCAGACGTGTTAGAAGCCCGGAGCTGGCAAATGTAACTTTTATCCATAAATTCTAGTGTGACTGCTTGGGCCAATCCACCTGCTAGCCCTGAAAATAGCTTTTATCCCCCCTCTGTGGTAGTCTTTCACATTCCCTACATTGTGTGTGTGTGTGTGTGTGTGTGTGTGTGTGTTTAAGATTACAGTTTAACAAAGTAAAGAACAGGTGTAGCCTTTTGAAAATGGAACGAACAGCTTTGGGAGAAGTTTTTCTCACTGTCAGGGATGTTCAAACACAGCCTTAGCTTGACTTCTTGGTGGGAACTGATGCATGTGATAGACGATTAATCTAGTTGATTTAAGGTTCTTTCCCCTGCCAAGATTTGATGAGGGTAGAATATAGTGATGATTCTAAAACAGGATCAGCAAACTTAAAAAAATATGTCAAACTCTTTCTGGTGTATTCTGGGTGGTAGGGATAGAGAGAGGGTTTCAGTACAAGAATCTGGAACTTATCCTACTGCAAAGAATGCATCTAGGCACCTCCTTTATTCTTCCTTCCAATCCCCTCAGATCTTCTGAGGAAGACTCTTCTTCTGGGTCATTGTCTCTTCACGGTGCTCTCGATGTATGACTCCAGCAGGAAGATGGTTTCATCCACCTGGATCTCACAGGCATCCAACCTGAGTGAAAAAGTGAAAGCATTTGCCCACACTGAACATTCATTAGCATATTTAAGATTAGAGGCTGGAGTGGGTGTGGTCATGGAGAATTTCTTGGTTACTCCTGAAAGTACTGGGCGGAAAGCAAGAGAACCAATAGATCATTCCTCCCACTTACTGAGCATCTCTCTTACGTGCCAGGTACTGTGGAAATTGCTGAGGATTCAAAAGATAAGGCCTCTGTCCCAGGAGAAGTTACATCCTAACTTGCAGTGAGGAGGAAGATAGCACCTGCTAAAGGCACAGGTGTAAAAGGACCTAGTGTGTTTTAAAATAGAAGCTGAGAGTGGCTAAGGCTTAAAGTGATTAGGAATAGAAGGGAACACACTTCATCAACCTGATAAAAGCCATCTACGAAAAACCCACACCTAGCATCATACTTCGTGGTGAAAGACAAAGCTTTCCTCCTGTGATCAGGAACAAGACAGGATGTCTGCTTTTACTTCCATTCAACATTTTACTGGAAGTTCTAGTCTGGAAATTAGACAAGGAAAACAAATAAAAGGCATCCAGATTGAAAAGGAAGAAGTAAAGCTATTTCTAATTCACAGATGACATGATCTTATATACAGAAAAAGCTCAAAGGATCCACAAAAAAACCTACCACAGCTAATAAATGAATTTAGCAAAATTATAGGATATAAAATCAAAACACAAAAATCAGTTCTATTTCTATACACGGGCAATGAAAAATTCAAAAATGAAGTTTAAGAAAACACTAAAACAATTGCTTAGGAATAAATCTAACAAAAGAGTGCAAGACGAATACCAAAAACGACAAAACTCATTGAAGGAGACAAAGGAAGATCTAAGTAAATGGAAAGACCTTCCATGTTCATGAGTTGGAAGATTTAGTATCATTAAGAAAGCAATACTCCACAGAGTGATCTACAGATTCAAAGCAAAATCCCTATGAAGGTCAATGGTGAGCAGTGAAAGGAAATGAGGATGAAGAGATAGGCTGTTATGAGACTGTGAAAGGCCTTATATGTTATGCCAAGGAGTCTGGTCTTTATACTGTAAACGAGGAGTCAATATAGCATTTAAAGCAGAAGAGTGATATTGTCAATCACTTTAAAGATACTAACTGTGAAAGCATTATAAGAAATGGTTTGAAGCAGGAGGTGATTTGCAAAGGTCTGGCAAAGAGGTGAGGAGGGCCTGCATGGGAAGCAAGATGAAAGGCCAGATTTGGGACACACTGAAGTAAAATCAGCAGCTTTGGTGAATGAAAGTGTGTGTGTGGGTGGGGGGCGGCTGGTGAGTGAGGAGAAGCTGAACATGTCTTCAGAGTTTTTAGCTTAGGGAAATAGGTGGATTAAGTTCTGTTAATTGAGGTGGGGAAGAAGAGAGTGAGTTTCGGTTTCCTCACCTTAAGTTGGAGGGGTAGCAGGATATCAAGATGGACTTGTCTGCAAGGTATTTTGAAACATACGTTTGAAGTTTATGATGCTTACTTGTTGACATTACGTTTCAGGGTCTCTAGCTGCTGGCGTTCAGGGGCTGTGATCATCTCCTCTATTTCTTGTAGCTGTGCCTCCTCTGCACCTGTAGCCTGCATAGATGCAATGATGGCTTCTACCCTCTGAGACTTTTCCAGTAGACGCCTGTCAGACAAACGCAACTCTGAGGCATGTCCTCTAGCCTTGGAGATTCTTTTATCCCATAGCCCTGGGGCATAGCTCCCCCTTTTACCATGTTCCTGGTCAAAGTGGATAATGTCACTCTCTAAGGAAGGACATTTTCTACAAGCTTAATTAGAAATGTGACTTCACTCCTGAAACTCTTGCTGCCTCTCATTTGTACTTAAAGTTTGGCGCCAGTTTATACATTGCTCATAAATTTAATCTGCAAAATTATTTCACTGGGGACATACAAGAAAAGTGTATACTAATGCATCTTTATGCCAACCTAAGCCAATAATTCAGTACAACCAGACTGGTTATTGTCTCTGTTGGTTTCCACTTCTACAGGAAATTTCCCCATAAGCCTTTTGGCCTTGTAAAATGTAATTACTCAACTGAAAATGTTACTCACTTGTTTTCTTTGGTTTCAAATTGCCTCCTTTCTATCAAGTTGGCTACACTCTGAGGGAAGAAAAGACAGGAAATGCTCACAGTTCTATTTAAGCAGCTCAGGCAAAATGGCTAAAGGGGGCATGAGGGTGAGACATCTCTGTGGATGGACTGGGGAGGAGTTACCTTGTAGCATCTGTGCAGCAACATTCGGGCAGCTGACAGGATGTTCACAGTATATAAATAGAAGGTCCTGGATGGGGCATGGTCTGGTGTTTTGGGAATTTCCTATTTGTCCATAGAAAGAAAAATAAGACTTTATACTTTTCTTCAGAACTGGCAAAGTAAACACCTGTCCCATCTGGAGCTACTCAGCCCTCTCTTTCACTTATACTTTCACTCTTCCCCAGTCACACAGCATCTGTGTTTATGGTACAATCAGCCACATGGAGGGTTGGGCTGCCCTGTTTTTTCCATTTGACTGTCAACATCCTGAGTGGAGAAGAAAGAGAAGGCACTTAACATTTACTAAGCAACTCTTATGTGCCAGGTAGATTGTATCTGATCTTATAACAAGCCATATCGTCTCTGTTACCACCATCCATCACCATTTTGTAGATGGGAAAAAAGATGGTAGGTAATTTGCTCAGTGTAACTGGGTAAGAGGCAGAGCTGTGATTCTGACTCCAAAATCCATTCTATCTGTTTCCTCATAGGGTATACTACACGGCTCTGCATGTAGTGGTGACCCGATAGATTTAATCTACAATAAACTTAAGGCTCGAGGAAAGGACAAATCACACGGACTAGGAGTTAAAGAAAAAAGGGTAGGGTGATTCTGGGGTAATTTCTTGGCTATGCCTCTTTTTTACTAGGCCAGTTAAAGCTCCACAGTTATCTTTCAAGTGCTTGCTATGTCTTTGTTAATCTTTTTTTTTTCTGTCTCAGAGCTGGATACAGTTTGTTTGGGGTTCAGAATGTTTGCTTCAGGAGTTCCTCTCATCCTAGGTCAGCTCTGTTGGTTGGTGATTACTGTTACCTGGAGTGATATGAAATTTTCTGAGAGCATTTTATAAAGCATATCCTTTGCCTCTTTTGCTGGAATCATTGCAAAGTCTTCTACCTGTTTCTGCTCCAGGTGTTTCTTTTGTAAAACTAAACGGAATATTCTGGCACAGCGAGACCCAAATCTGTAAAGGAATAAAGAAAGCAAATGGCATGCCGACGTAGATTAGCTTTAGCTCTTAGTCACAGACGGTGCTTGTTCGGTTTCCATGTGTGGAGACAGGACCAGAGAGGAACAGCAATCAGAGAATTCCTTCATAACTCCACAGATTGATGACAATACTGCTAATCATAAGAGTCACCAACTGCTGACTCACTTGAATGCCTCAGTTCGTGCATTTGTAAGTAAAGGCTTTAGGAAGGATGGTTAATTGGCATCACTGGGAATTAAGCAGCAGGGTATTTAGGGTAAAGAGCTGTAGTAGGTGGGATCCATAGCAGTCCAGCGGAAAATGGGGCAAGATGTGCCAAGGTGTGTCTATATTGGTTACTGACATAATGACCAAGTCACTTGTTCAAATGGGGTGTGGAAAGGAAGTATCTGACCCCCAACCCCAATCAGGGTGACCCCCTTACCTCTCTTGTATGACCGACTCCAGAGTGGCTGTGGCTAGAGATCCTAGAGCCTTATGTAGGTCTTTATGTAGAGGGTTAAGGTTACTCCGTAATGTTTTGGCCTGGTCATTGTGATCTTAGTTTTATCCCCGAGTCTTTAATTTAAAACTTAAATACTATTTTGTTTTTCACACTAGTCTCATTTATGGTATGTAAGTATTTCGAAACCTTAATTAACTAAGGTGCTTAAGTCAGAGTTTTGCTTAACTAAAATTTGGTTCGTTAAAAGTCCCTTTCACTTCTTTATCATCAATGTTTTAGTTCAATTTTCTAACTTACTTAGTACACTAAATATCATCAAATCTTTTCTAAGTCACCATTCTGTTTCATAGTTCACGCTGCCTGACTGTAAGGAAATAACCACCCATAAGGATACTGATGACATACATTCCTCCACCACTGTCGCCAGACTTTCCAACAAACTCAAGCTATTAAAAAAAAGGAAAAAAAAAAAAAGAGAGCTTGTGTTATTTGAATGGAAAGTCCAGTGATCCTGTTTCCAAAAGAGCAAATCTGGCCAAGAGTCTGCAGCAGGAAGCCCTCCTATCAGATGATGGTAGAGAAATTGTCTGAGCTGGCTAGGTAGAGAATGAGGCTACAGAAGACTGATAGCAGGCAAAAATTAATCGTAAGTACAGCAGAAAAAAGAAAGAAAAGACTTACTGGATCATCTGCCAGCAGAGTGAGATACTGATCAAGAACTTGCTTAGAGATGTTGTAGCCAACAGGTAGGGATCTGAAGATCTGTGGAGCAAAAGATACAGTGAAAATGGGCCTGGGAACTTAGAACTGCTGACATTGCTGAAATAAAGATGTTCTAATTTTAGATATCACAAGTATAACAATGTCCAAAAGCACAGCAGCATTGTTGGTAAGAGTAAAAAACTAGAAACAATTCACATGTCCAGTAATAAGGAATTCATTAAAATAAAGTACATCATGGCCATTAAGTGGAATATGATACGGCCATTATAAAGAATGAGGCAGATCTAAAAATACTGACATGAAAAGAAAGTTTACATATACTGTCATATGAAAGAAGCTAGTTTAGAACAGTACATAGAGTATAACCCCATATTTTTTTGTTGTTAAAAAATACAGGGCTTCCCTGGTGGCACAGTGGTTGAGAATCTGCCTGCCAATGCAGGGGACACGGGTTTGAGCCCTGGTCTGGGAAGATCCCACGTACTGCGGAGCAACTGGGCCTGTGAGCCACAACTACTGAGCCTGCGCGTCTGGAGCCTGTGCTCCACAACAAGAGAGGCCGAGATAGTGAGAGGCCCGCGCACCGCGATGAAGAGTGGCCCCCGCTTGCCACAACTAGAGAAAGCCCTCGCACAGAAACGAAGACCCAACACAGCAAAAATAAATAAATAAATAAATATCTACATTTATGTGAGACTATACATATAAAAAAGTCTGAATAAAGATATGTACCAAACTACTGACAAGGATCTCTGGGGCTGGGATTATGCAAAACTATATATTTATTTAAACTGGGGTATGTTACATACAAGAAGCACAGATTTTAAGGGTACAGTTTGATGAGTATTGACAATTGTATATACCCACATAACTACCATCTGCAAGATACAGAACATGCCTGGCATTCCTGAAAGTTTGGGGAACTACAAGTTTAAAAAAATTATACATTTCTATGCTGTTTGAATACAGGTCATGTAATTACTTTTGTCATCAGAAAAAAACTTGTATTTAAATTTTGTTATATAGTAATTTAAAAAAAATTTAAATAATATGACTATATTTAATGTGGATAAATATTAGTATAATTACAAAAAATTAGTATAATTACAAATAAAACATTTGAAATATTAAATATTAAATTTTCAATAAATAAAACAATGAACAAAGCATTTAAAACAAATTTAAAATATACAAAATATATTGAAAAAAACAAATATAAGGGGCCATATAATGTCCTGAGTACCAAGGCCCAGATTCCAAACAGTGGATTCTTGGAACAATTAAGAATAACTTATACTATATATACAATGAAATACTACTCAGCCATGGATGGACGGACCTTGAGATTATCATACTAAATGAAGTCAGAAAGACAAATACCATACAGTATCACTTCTATGTGGAATCTAAAATATGACACAAATGAACTTATCTACAAAATAGAAACAGACTCATAGACATAGAGAACACACTTGTGGTTGCCAAGGGGGAGGTGGGTGGGGGAAGAATGGATTGGGAGTTTGGGATTAGCAGATGTAAACTATTATATATAGAATGGATAAACAGCAAGGTCCTACTGTATAGCACAGGGAACTATATTCAATATCCTGTGATAAACCATAATGGAAAAGAATGTATATATGTATAACTGAATTACTTTGCTATACAGCAGAAATTAACACAACATTGTAAATCAACTATACTTCAATAAAATAAATTAAAAATAAAAAAAGAATTACTTATACTTTGACTAAGGTAATGGTTTAGGTTTTTAAAGGTTGAATTCCCAAGAGACCAAATATTTCAGTACCTACCACCTGAGAATAATCCCCATCCCTCCTCAAATAGCAAAAACCCTTCCTTTCAAGGTTCAGACCTCAACCTAATCTCAGGCTCTATGTATAATAATTATTATATCCAAGAGCCTGTCAGAAAACTAGTACAAGAACATGAAGCTCACCTCGTTGGAAGACAATGGCTGGGTGAAGGGGGCACTAGAGGAAGTGGTAATCTCACTCATCCGGAGCATGGTCCGCACGATCTCGCTGCTTGTCTGGGTTTGAAAAGTGAACTGGAAATCAGAATTCACTCTGCTGTGCTGGCTCTGGCTATATGCCAATGGCCACATCTGCAAATAAGTGAATATTCCTGATAGCCACTGTCCCACCCACTTAGATATCACCTGGTCCATCCTGTTGGCAACTGCACTGACAATGCCTTGGTCACGGAAGTGCTGGTGGAATCTGTCAAGGTTGGCCTGCCAATAAATCCCATCATCTGGAATGGGCTGAGGAGGAGAAAAAGATTAGAGAGAAACATTTAGATACAAGGAAGCATTTTCTAGTGAGAAGCTTGGATTTAACTGTTCACCGTTTCTTTTCCTATATAGTAGCAACTAAATTGGTTGGAGGAAAAAACCATTCAACCATGTGGATTTAGTGCCTCCACAATGACAAATTCACAACCCCCAACTTCAAACAGATTTTCTTTGCTTACCTCGAATCTTTGTCTATTTTAACTCTTTTCCAGTATTCTCAAAATCTCCCATTTGCCCCTCCCTTCTCTCTCAGCAGATGACCTTGCTTCTTATTTCAGAGAGCAAATAGAAGCCATTAGGCCAGAACTCATTCAGCGTGGTGCACACATCCCCACCACATTTATTTAAAAAAAAAATTGAGCTTCTCAAAGAGTTGGTCATCCCAGCTGTACCCCCATCCACAGATTTACTCAACCCATTTCCACCGTTACACTGAAATGCCAAAGTTCCTGAGGAACCTGTTGCTAAGTTCAAAGAATACTGTCCAGTTCCAATCTTATTTGATCTTTCTAAAGCATATGACATGGTTGGACATTTTCTCCTTAACTCTATGTGGCCCCTTAGACTTTATGACACCATTCTTTCTTGGTGCTCCTTCTAACCACTCTGGCTACCCTTCCTCAGTCCCCACAGATTCCTTTTCCAGATCCCATCTATAAATACTGGTGTTCCCCAGGGTTCTGTCCACAGCCCTCTTTTCTTTTCACTCTACATATTCTACTTAGGTGATTTAATCTGCTCTTAAGGTTTCAACTGTTCCAAGTCTATTACTTAATTCTAGAACTCTCTATTAAGTTCCAGGTGCATAGACTCAACTGCCTACTTCCATCTGTGACTTAAAATTTTCAAGTTTTCAGCTAACTACACTACAACCAACCCAGTTTCTTAAGCTAGAGACTTGAATACCATCCCCAACCCCTTGCTCTCCCTCATCTACTATCCAATTACCCAGTTCTATCTATTCTTTTTTTAAAAATTTATTTTATTTATTTATTTTTGGCTGTGTGGGGTCTTCGTTGCTGCAAGTGGGCTTTCTCTAGTTGTGGCGAGTGGGGGCTACTCTTTGTTGCAGTGTGCGGGCTTCTCATTGCGGTGGCTTCTCTCGTTGCAGAGCACGGGCTCTAAGCGCGTGGGCTTCAGTAGTTGTGGCTCGTGGGCTCTAGAGTGCAGGCTCAGTAGTTGTGGTGCATGGGCTTATTTGCTCCGTGGCATGTGGGGTCTTCCAGGACCAGGGCTTGAACCCATGTCCCCTGCATTGGCAGGCGGATTCTTAACCACTGCGCCACCAGGGAAGCCCCCTATCTATTCTTTATATTAATCAGAAGTCTACTTTTCTTTATCCTGACTGTCATTACCTTATTTCAGGCTCTACTCTTGACTCACCTGGTTACTACAGTAGCCTCCTAACTGGTTTTCATTTTTCTTTTTCATATAGTGGACACTATAAAAAAGGGCAACTGGGTTTTCTGCATTTAATCTTGTTCCTTTTGCATCGTTCTCCCCATTTCTCATAGAGCAGTGCTTCTTTTTACCTTTTGGGCTCACAGTTCCCCTGAAGAAAGCTATGGAGTGCTCTAAAGAAAAATGCACATAGTACAGGTGGACTCTCTGAAACGCATCCATGGAGTTGTACAAGTTATAAACCACTGTACTATAGTAATATTTCTAAAATGTAAATCTAGCCACTTCATTCACCTGCCTAAAATTCATCAATGGCTCCCCATTGTCTTCAGGTTGAAGTCCAAACTTCTTAGTTAGTCAATCAAGAAATATTTATTGATGTCTTGCGAGTATTCCAGGTGCCAGGGACAAGACACTGTCCTTGAAGAGTTTATAGACTATTGGGAGTACAGAGACAAACACTTGTACAAATAATAAGTAATTTCAGCTACTTATAAATGCTGTGAAGATGAAATGCGAAAATGTGGTAGAGACTGGAGTAGAGGGTGGGCAATGGTGCTTGAGCTCTAAGAAAGTAGCATTTGAGCTGAGATCGGAATGATGAAAAAGAGGCAACTACATGAAGATCTGAGGGAAAAGTATCTGAAGCAGAAGAAATCCTAAGGGCAAAAGCCTGAAGACTAGAAAGAGTATGATACATTTGAAGGATGGAAAAAATGATAGAAGCTGGAACATAGTGAATGACAGAGTAGGAAGAGCTGAGGTTGGAGAGCCTTGTCTCCAGCAGATCATGTAAAGACCCAGCTCGGGCTTCCTTGGTGGTGCAGTGGTTGAGAATCTGCCTGCCAATGCAGGGGACACGGGTTCGAGCCCTGGTCTGGGAAAATCCTACATGCCATGGAGCAACTAAGCCCGCGCACCACTGCTACTGAGCCTGCGCGTCTGGAGCCGGCGCTCCGCAACAAGAGAAGGCCGCAACAGTGAGAGGCCCGCGCACCGCGATGAAGGGTGGCCCCCGCTCACCGCAACTAGAGAAAGCCCTGGCACAGAAACGAAGACCCAACACGGCCAAAAATAAATAAATAAATTCATTAAAAAAAAAAAAAAAAAAAAAAACCCAAAAAAAAAAAAAAAAAAAACAAAAACAAAAAAAAGACCCAGCTCATGTAAGGCTTCATAATCCACAGTAAAGAACTGGATTTCTTCTAAGAGTAATGGGAAGCTATTAAAGGAGTCAAAAATCAGTGATGTGTTGGGATTTTTTAAAAAGAACAATTTAGAAAGTCATTTTGGCTCTTAAGTAGGTATGAATGCAGGTAGGGAGACCACTTAGGAGAGTGTTGGCAAAGTCTTGACTACAGTGATAATGGTTTGGACTAGGGTGATGGCAGTGGAAACGATAAGAAATAGTCAGATTTCAATTATTTTTAGAAATTGGGTTGACAGGTTTTACTGTGAGATCAGATGGCTCCTAGGACTTTGGACTAAGCAAATGGTGTCCTGGGTGGTTGGCCTTGGTGGTGTCCCTAACTAAGATGAGGAAAGCTTAGGAGGGAGTAGATATCTGGGAGCAGGAAATCAATTACTCTGTTTTAGCCATACTACTTTTGAGATGCTTATCAGATGTTTTTACAGGGATGCTGAGAAGGCATTTGAATATAACAGCTCAGGTCTATACGTATCTTTCTAAACTCATTTATCACCACTCATCCCCATGGGTCTCTATGGTCCAGTCATACTGACCAATTTAAACTTTTTCTAGGCGCTTTTTCTGCCTAATCTATTACCTCTGTCCAATGACTGAAGTAAGTTAAGCCTCAGAAGGGACACAGCAACAGAGTTCACTCTTTGTTAGTCTATCCCTGGCCAATATTTAATGAAGTTCATAATCCTACTACTTCTCGATCCAAGAACGTTTAAGCTCTTTTGGGGCTTGTCATCTTAGTGCTCTTTCTGGCTTGCCTCAGGGTGAGGACTCCTAACCAAGAAGCCTCATTACCTCTTTGTTATCTGTGGTATGTTTTGGTCTCTTGGCCTTGGGCTCCCCAGTTGCATCTTCGTCAGATGATCTCCTCCTTTTACCTTTCCCTGCCAAACAAAACAGTTACACAGTTAGGCTACATCTCATATGATAACAGGAAATGACCGAAGGTGAAAGCAGGTGTCTCTATCCCAAAGACATCTGTAGCTACCTCTAGGTTAGAGATGTTGAGGAGACTGAGGAACTACAAGAAATTCAAGTTAATGATGAAGTCATCTGAAACTCAACAAGTTCAAAAAGAAATTCATAGTCTTTCTCCCTCAAACTGCTCCTGCTCCAATGCTTCCTTTCACAGTGAACGGTACCATCATCCTCCCACATACTCAAGCCAGACACACAGATGTCATTCTTGATTTCTGTCTTCCTCACCCTTCCTATGTCTAATTTTTCACTGGTTTGTGAAAAATTGCCCCATCCTTTCTACAGACAGAAACATATTTTAAAAATGCAAATTAGATCATGTTACTTCCTTTAAAATCCTTTAGTAGTTTTCCTTTGCTCTTAGGATAAAGAACAGGTGCTTTACGAGGTCTTGCATGATCTAGCCCCTAACTGTCTGTCTAACTTTAACTTATGGCTCTCTTTCCTTTCCTCACTGTACTTTAACTATACTGATCTTCTTTTACTTTCTCAAATTCCTATTTTTTTCCTCACTACATACTATTCCTTTTGCCAAAAATGCTTATCCTCTGTACCCCTTCATACCTTACTTCACTGGTTGGCTCCTACTTCTGCTTCAAATCTTAGTTCAAATGCCACTTTCTCCAAGAAGCATGTGCCCAAGTCCCCAGGTAAATCTGGTCCCCTGTTATATATTTTCATAACATCCCATATTTTACCTTCATAGTACTTATCGCAGTTTGTTAGTTATATATCCATCAGGCTATTTGATTAATGTAAGCCTCCTATACTAGACTTAAGCCCCATAGGGGCAGGGACCATAATGGTTTTTTCATCTCTTTATACCACAGTATCTGGCATAGAGTAAATCCTTGGTAACTGCTTAATTGATTGAGTCATTCATTTAACAATCATTAAGGAAGAATCTACAATTAGGTCAAATCACAGATCTAGGGGCCAAAATTCCTTACCTATCAAGCTCAGTTTAGGAACCAGGTACATGTCCTTTTCACTGATGACAAGAGTGGGGGCAGGTGGCGGTGGCCCAGGGTCTGAATTCTCAGTGGCAGGCACCAAGGGGCAACGCTGCACGAAGTGTGTGTCTGCTAGTCGCACAAATGTGTTTGAGACCTCAGCATAGTCCATGGTCTTGCCATCTGTATGACAGGAGGAAAGAGGCAAGTGAGATGGCCTCAGATAACTAAGGGTCCTCTCCTGTAGCCAGCCAATCTATGCTTTTGCTAACAGCTGTGGATACAGTACTGACCCTCCATAGTCTCTGTGAGCCGATCTGCTACTTTCTTCACGACAGCTGACATTGCCATCTTGCCATTCAACAGGAGCTCCTCAACAATCAGCTCGCCAGTGTCACTGTACAGTGTTTTGGCAGTATAGATGTATCGGGGATACCTAAGCATTCGCAACACCCGGCTGCACTGGGCTTCATACTCTACCACACCACGTTTGTGCACCTGATATATCACCAGGTTATGCTGGATGAGGACACAAAGGGCTTTTTTTACCTAGAGAAAACACAGAAGAAAGAGAAGAAAAATCTGAAGATGCAGCTCATTATTGCTGGCAATTTTTGTCCAACAGTTTCCTAAACATCAGGAGATGGCTGGAATCTCTGTGTGTCTTCCCTCTCTCCATTGGAATAGCTAATAAGAAGCGAATGTCAATGGAAGAAATCAGGAAGAGTCCTTGCTATCATGCTCATATTTCCTCTGATCTTTATCTTTCAAAGTACAATTTACTTCCCCTCTGTTATTTTTTTTTTAAATAAATAAATTAATTAATTAATTTTTGGCTGCATTTGGGTCTTCCTGCTGCACGTGGGCATTCTCTAGTTGCGGTGAGTGGGGGCTACTCTTCGTTGTGGTGTGCGGGCTTCTCATTGTGGTGGCTTCTTTAGTTGCGGGGTGCGGGCTTTAGGCTCATGGGCTTCAGTGGTTGCGGCACGCGGGCTTGGCAGTTGTGGCTCGCGGGGACTAGAGCACAGGCTCAGTAGTTGTGGCGCACAGGCTTCGTTGCTCCGCGGCATGTGGGATCTTCCCGGACCAGGGCTCGAACCCATGTCCCCAGCATTAGCAGGCAGATTCTTAACCACTGCACCACCAGGGAAGTCCCATCCCCTCTATTATTCTTATTCCTTAAACACAGTACTGAAATTAATAGACTCATGAATAAATGAAGTATGGCATATGGCAGAGGAGGAGCAAGATTTGCCTCAGAAGCCACGATGAGCCACTTTGAGAAGCAGAACCCTGGGCACTATGTCTCATCATCTTTCCCCTCCCAAATAACACTATTCTAATCCTAGCACAGACTTTGCTTTCTTTTCCATTTTGTGGGGTGGGGAGTAACAATATTCAAAGGTAGGTTAAAGAAATTAATGAAATGGAAGCAAATTACTGTGATCCAAACATACCTGATCCAATGATGTTCCTGTGTCATGGGCAATAACTCTTAGTGGCTGGCTGCCAGTTCTGATTAGGTGGACTCCAATTTTTTCTACGATCTCTCCAAAATGCTCTTGCAGCAACAAAGAACACAGTTTAATTTCTGCTTGAGTCATTGTGCTGAGGAGTCTCAGAGCTAGGAAAAAAAGAAAAAGAGGGTATGATGGGAAGTTTTTCTTTTATGTTGGGAGTAGAGCTGCTGAGTGTAAATTCATGTACTTTCTGGAGAGCAATTTGACAGCACATATATCAAAAGCCTTAAAATCTTGCATATCTTTGACCTAATACTTTTGTTTTGGATATTCTCTTCCAAGGGAATAATAAAAACATGTCACTTTAGAATACTGATATTCTGGAAACAATCTCATAAGTGATTATATCAATAAATTATGGTATACTCAAATAATGGAATACTATGCCAACATTCACAATAAAGTATAATATGTATTAGTGCAGAAAATTGTTCATTACAAAGCAAAATGTAGAGGAAAGTTCAATTACTGTGGAAATAGCCCCACACGTATGCATGAAAAAAAAAGACTGGAAGACTATATATCAAGTTTATCTTTATGGGATCATGTGTGATTCTAGTTTTCTTTAAAGATCGGATGTAGATGGTTTTGCGATCTGTCACAGACCTCAGATTCTATACTTCATTGTTTGGAAGAATTAAGACCACTATTCACAGACTATTGGGACTGAACAGGCAATGACAACTTTGCAAAATAAACTAAGAGGTAAATGAGAGCTTCTCAACAGGGTGTTTCAAATAGGGGATGAAGTATGTTGTTGGCAGGGCAGTATTTAATTCTGAAATTTCTATTCCTTGACAAAGTATATACAAAGAGAAACAGACATAGTCCACTGTATAATCACTTCCTTATTATCACAAGTGCTATCAAACACTGGTTTGTTCACTTATTTCTCCCAATTCCTCAGAAGCCAAGACTCTGCCTTTCAGTCTCACTATCCCCATCCACAGGTCTTTGGGGAAGCATCCCCAGACCCTCTGCCATCCCCGGAAAGTATTTCCAAGGAGTCCGGCTCCTGGCTCTTCACTTCTTTACCGCAGGTTCCTGTCCCGGACTGGGTCCCTGGGTCCAGAGACAGGGCCACCTCGTTCAGACCGCATTTTCCACTAACCTCTGGGTCAATGCCACGTAACGCCACCGACTTCCCCACTGCAGCTTCGTACAGCGCCCGCTAGCCGCCCGCGCACAGGGGGAGCCCAAGGTCCTTTCGCGCAGGAGCACGGCCACCGAGGAGGACCGGCAAAGAGGCAAAACATGTGCCGCTCTACCCCAGCGTTTCGGTGGTTTCCGGGGACGCTCTTTCTTTCTTCTCGCTGGGAGATTGGAGGACCGGCGAGGGGCTGTTTGAGGAGCCGGCGGGCGGGCCGCGGCTGGCGGACTCTCCTTCCTGCACCTCTTTGGTGCTGGGAGGCGGGCCTCGGGGTCGCTGTTTGCGCCGCCGCCTCTGTGGGCCGGGCGAACTCACGTGACCCGCGCTGGCTCTGAAGCGGCTGGCAGCACTAAGGAAGCGGCGGCGGCGGCGGCAGAGGCGGCGACAGCAGCTGGGAGGTAGCGACCTGGAGAGCGACCGGCCGGCTGCCCTCTCGGACGGCCGCGGCGAAAGAGAAAAATGGCGGAGGCCTCGGCGGCCGGGGCCGGCGCGGGCGCCGCGGTTGCCGCGCACCGGTTTTTCTGCCACTTTTGCAAGGGCGAGGTCAGCCCCAAACTACCGGTAAGAGCTCTGTGTCCTCTGCGCTCGGGCATCGGCCTGGATTCCTCTCCCCGATATCCCGGAACGGGTCTTAAGCTTCCCGCCCATCCCCGACTCCCCTGACATCGGTCTCCCAAGTACTTGCTGCCTCCCAGTCGCTGGCCCCAAACCCCGGGCGTCCCGGTCCTGGCCCCGTAACTCCCGCTCGCATGCTCCACCTGCCCCTCACTCTCTCTCCCCTCTTGACCGGCCCTCCCCCTCCATTTTTTTTTTTTTTTTTTTGGTCTTCTTCAGCAAGTTCTCTTCTGACATCCCCTCAGTTTTCTTGCACTCTTCTTCACCTTGTCTCCTTACCACGATGACCTCTCTTTTTCTCCCACTCGATACTCTTTCCGCTGTTGCTTCTCACCTTTCTCTATTTCCTTTTCCACTTTTCACCAGATCCTCCCCTCCCCCATCCTCATTGAAGCAAAATAGCGGATTGCTGAGGATTGTCCTTATTCGGTTGTCTCTAGGGAAGAAAGGAGGAAGAAAGCACGGAAAGAAAGAGAGGGTTGGAAGGTAACTGGGATGGAGAGGAGGATTTTGCTATTCAGGGGTTTCCAGCGTTCTTGTGAAAGTGAAAACAGCAGTGTACTAATGACTTGCAGACTGCCTGCGCTCCGTATCACTGTTGAAGGAAATGGCTTTAGGAAGAAGGCAGAACATACTGTTTCAACTTGCTTATTTTAGTTGTCATGCTGCCAGTGTCTTTAGCACCACCTGCCTTACCCACCCCTCCTCCCCCGTTCTATCTCTTCACTTAATAGAAGAGATCTAGGACAGAATGCTGGGGACCGCATCATCTGATGTAAAATTGGTTTTCACCACTATTTGCCAGACTGTGTTAGCCCCTAGAGAGGTAGTGCTATGGCTGTGACAAAAAGTGCTTCTGCAGCATGCTAGCCAGCTACAGCATGCCAGTCGCACAGGCTGCTTGGGGTTGGGTTATAGCTACCACAGGGAGACCCACCAGGGTGAGTGTTAATCCTACCGTTGGCCACATCTTTAGAACTAGTTATGTTTGTTCTTTTCCTTAGAAGTATCTGTGTTCAGCCTTAACACAGGGTGCCTGTCTAACAACTTCCCTCAGTGTTTATAGTGGCTCATACAATCTGTAAGAAAGCCTGCTAAAGTGTGTCTGTATGTCTTATTTCTTGGAAACACAAACGGAGTCCAGTGAAAAGTGCCTAAAAGTTATTTTAGCCTTTTTCACCTAAAGGTTGTGCGTTTATCAGGCTTTTACAGCATTTTCTTTTCTTCTCTTTTTGCCCGACCGCCAACTTCATAGTTGCAGTGTCATCTACATGCTGTTTTAGTTTTGCTTGCTGATTTGGCTGTGTTTGTGTCTGTGCTTTTTGCCATACTTCAGTGCTGAGAAGAGCAGGTGCCTTGTTTTTTTGTCAGCGGACATCAGAGCCTCCAGAATGCTCCCTTACTACTGAGAAGGAGTCTGGAATTCAGCCAGTATGTGTGTGACCAGTGACATGTTGAATGTGATGTCCTATTGAACAGTGTGGCCTCAGCTCTTCTGATCTTTAAGTTGCTGTTCACTGTTTGCCTTTAGGAGTGAGAAAACAGTCTAACTTTCCGCAACTTTTTATATCTTTTCTTCTTACCATCTCAAGTCCTCACTTCAAAGTGCTCTTGAAAAGGGATCATTTGAAAGACTTTTTAGGTGTTTTTCTAAGCCTTAGTTTGATACATGGAGGGGAAGTTGTTGATCTTTTTAGACTGATTTATTATCTGTCATGCCTGATTTGTAAATCGAGGCCTAACACTATTAAGTGCAACTGAATACTTCCTGCAGACATACCAGGTTCTCTCAGCTGAATGTCCTGGAGGTGATACTGAGGAGTACGTGGTTCCTGCCCTTAAGCACCTCACAGTTTTGTTGGAAAAAGTAACAGCTAAGGTGAATGAGGATGGATAATAATGTGCTTTAGAATTCAGAGAGGGGGAGACATGGTAGCATTGGTGATGTGAGGTCGGGGAAGACAGATGAGATGGGATTTAAATTGAGTCTTGAAGGATAGGTAGAGTTCAGACTGAGGAGACAGCATAGACTGAGGTAGAAAAGGAAGAGTGAGTTGAGGAAGAAGGGAGAAACATTTAGTAAATCATTGTTGCTATGCATTTTTAGGAAAGGTGCAGTGAGGTTACGAATATAGTTTTGATTTGTGGATGAGCCAGTGAGTTTCATGTTTCATGGCCATTTCTGTATCCTTAACCCTAGACTGTCATCTTGAAAATGTTGATTGTAAGAATGACCAGGTTAGTAAGTGGCTGATTCAGTACAAATCAATCTCTGCTACTGAAAAACCAATTCAGCACTGGTTAGTCAGTAATATTATCATATATATTGGACAACATTGAAGTTTTTTAAAAATAATTTTTTATATAAACTTGGGATTCCCTCACTGTAAGTACTCAGCATTCATTAGGCATGCATTGTTTCTTGAACTGGATCAATGTTGTGGTAAACCTGAATGTCTTTCTGCAGATAGCCAGAATAAAGTTTTTCTTTGTCTGGGGTTAATTTACATCTCAAGAGGGTACTTTGGTGGTAGTTGGATCACAAGATCCATTACCCAGGAGTGTTGCTCTCTCTGAACACCAGAGGCTGGTATTGAGTTTTACATCAGCCTTTAGTGAGCTATTGCTAGGGAGGTTTCTTCACCCAGTCAGTGGGAGGAACTGCTTCAGAGCCATCTCATCTCTTGCCAATTTATTCACCACATAAAATCATAATTTTGTTCAGTGGGACTAGGTTGCAAGGTTTTACAATTCTTTATTTCTTTTCCCTTCCCCAGTCTTTAGGTTACAGCACTTCATGATACATTTGGAAGTATACAGGCAATAGCAATAGCTTGCTCAATGTTCATCCCTGAAACTACCCTTAGGTTTTTATTGTTTTTCTTGTCAGTCCTGCTACTCTGAAAGATTCACAGGCCCAGCTAACTTCAATGGCTGTTTTAAAAGTTTTTTTTTTTTTTGGTTATAACTTCTGAGAGAGATTGGAGTGTGTCTATTAAGCCACATTTGGTTGAATTAATTTAATTTGATGAAATAACCTCCTTACTCCTAATCCTGATCTATCCATCTCAGCTTTGTGTGTTTTTGATTTGGATCCTCCCAGATAAGAAGACAAAAGTTTCTTTTAGAAAGAAGATATTAAGAAATGAGGGGGAAATCATGAAGGGAATTTTAGAATGAAAATATATTCAGTGGTATTGTTATCATTAGGTTTCTAAAAAGCCTTTATTCTAGAAGTGAGTAATGATTTAGGAATTTATTTTTTAATTAACAGTGTTTTCTATTTACAGTGGAAATGGTTTTAGTAAAATTTAGTGAATGTTAAACTTGGATTTTAAAATAAGAGATTTTGATTATATGGTCTGAAGCCCTAGTCTTTCAAGTTTATATATATAACTGGGTAAAATGGCATTGTATATTTTTTGGTCATCAGATGACAAAGGAAATACTTAAGTAACTTAAAGTTATTTTGAAAATACAGCAGAAGCTTCTACCTCACCTGACTATCCCATTGAGATAGCCAAGACTGATGGAGTTAACTATGTGACACTTAGGGATGACTGGGTAGTGCCACAGAGGGCTGTGTCATGGAATGTAAAGGTGTCATTCCATCTCCATACTACCTTCCCCCACTTTTAAATCAAGGTCAGGGAATATTACCTTATGAGATTAAGTCCTGTAGCGTCATTAAGCAGGTGAGATAAATCATATGCAGAGTAAACTACTTTTGGTACTGATGAAACTAGGGTGATTCTTAAGTGTTTTATGGAGATCAGAGTATCCAAAGCCAGAGAAGAGACCAGTGTAATTAAGGACTGCAAGTGTATTGCTCACCTCTGAGGCTTTGTCTGAAGGAAGTAGCTGGCTTCTCTCCCTCTCACATCTCCTTATTATATCACCTTTGATCTAATGAAATGTCATCCTTATCAATAAGTAATATTGGTTTGGTTCTTTACCAAGTGCTATACAAGTCATTGTCATTGTGCTGTACTTGTAATGACTCTAATACAGGAAAACTTTCTAACCACCCCATAAGAGTAGGTAAAAAGTAGACTCCCTAAAGACTTTGTGATTCTTAAAACTCTAAGCTCACTGACCTTGTTTTTTAAAGTTGCATGATTCTTAGAAAGATCCTAGAACGGTGTCTAAGTAATGTTAGTAGTTTTGTTGAGCTGAGGGAACAAATTAGTGATTTGAGCTGGGTTTTATAGGTTTTAATAATTAGATTTCTTTTTTTAAAATAAATTTATTTTATTTATTTTTGGCTGCGTTGGGTCTTCATTGCTGCGCGCGGGCTTTCTCTAGTTGCGGCGAGCGAGGGCTACTCTTTGTTGTGGTGCATGGGCTTCTCATTGCGGTGGCTTCTCTTGTTGCAGAGCACAGGCTCTAGGGCACGTGGGCTTCAGTAGTTGTGGGGCATGGGGTTAGTTTCTCCATGGCCTGTGGGATCTTCCTGGACCAGGGCTTGAACTCATGTCCCCTGCATTGGCAGGCAGATTCTTAACCACTGCGCCACCAGGGAAGTCCCAATAATTAGATTTCTTAAATTCTGCTATTGGTGACTTCAGTTAAAAAGTGTGCTTGATTATCTAGCATCTTTCTGGTGCTATATAGCAATTGCTTATTAAAAGTCTCTTGAATGATAGTCTCTTGACCCCGTAGTTATATTTAAAAAGTAGTGGTGTTAGTGGTATGAGATCTTTATCTAAAAGGCTTCAGTGGAAGAAAATGCAGGTACTACCATGTGAAGTTTGAACATATAGTGTCAGTAAGTATATTCCCTGCAAAGATCTAGAAGTAAGAAATAGGTATTCTTACGGGTAGAATGCTAGTTCTGGTCTTGAAATTCTACTGATAAATAGACATGTATATCTTGGGTAAATCTGTGGGATTTTTTTCAGTATGAGGAAGAACAAGAATCTTTAAACTCACTGCAGATGAAATTC